TCTCAGCACGTTATTCTGTGGATATCAACACACAGATTTTGGAGTTTAAATGGACAGGGCAGTAAACCCGAAAACAGCCAACACAGTATTGGAGGAGAAGAACAAAGTTGGAGGACTGACATTACCTAACTTTAAAACTTACTGTAGAGCCCCAGTAATCCAGACAGTGTGGTATGGGCAAAGGAATAGACAGATCAATCAATGGAACAAAATGAAATGCCCAGAAGTAGACCTACATAAACAAAATCAACTAAATTTTGACAAAGGAGCAAAGGCAAAACAATGTAGCAAAGACAGTCTTTTCAACAAATAGTGCTGGAACAACTGGACATGCAATTGCAAAAAAAATAAGAAGAAACGAATGTAGACACAAACCTTATACTATTTACAAAAATTCACTCAAAAAGGATCACAGACCTAAATGTACATCACAAACTATAAAACTCCTAGCAGATAATTTAGGAGAAAATCTAAATTACTTTGGGTTTGATGATCAGTTTTTCTGATACAAGATCAAAGGCATGATCCCAGAAATAATTGATAAGCTGGACTTCGTAAAAATTAAAAAGTTTTGCTCTGTGAAAGATGCTGTCAAGAGAATGAAAAGATAGGAGAAAATATGTGCAGAGGACATAACTGATAAAGGACTTTTCCAAAATATACAAAGAACTTAATGATAAGGCCAGGTGTGGTGGCTCATGCCTGTAATCCCAGCACTTTGGGAGGCCAAGGCAGGCAGGTCACTTGAGGTCAAGGGTTTGAGACCAGCCTAGCCAACATGGTGAAACCTCTACCTAATTCTCTACTAAAATACAGAAATTAGCCAGGTGTGGTGACGGGTGCCTGTAATCCCAGCTACTTGGGAGGCTGAGGCAGGAGAATCACTTGAACCTGGGAGGTGGAGATTGCAGTCAGCCAAGATCATGCCACTGCACTCCATCCTGGGCAACAGAGCAAGACTCCCTCTCAAAACAAGCCAGCAAAAACCACAAAAAACAAAACTCAATAATAAGAAAGGAGCTCAATTAAAAATGGGCTGAAGTCCTAAACAGATACCTCACCGTGTTCAGATGGCAAATAAGCATATGAAAATATGCTCTGCCAAAAGATTGGACACCACTGTTCTACATCATATGTCATCAGGGAAATGCAAATTAAAACGAGATACCACTAAATATCTATCAGAAAGGCCAAAAGGCAGAACGCTGACTAAAGCAAATGCTGATGAGGATATGAATCAACAGGAACTCTCATTCATTGCTGGTGGGAATGCAAAATCATACAGCCACTTTGGAAAACAGTTTGGCAGTTTCTTACATACTCCTTGGTACTTACCCCTAGGAGTTGAACACTTATGTCCACACAAAAACCTGCATGTGGATTTTTATTTTTATTTTTAATTTTTAATTTTTATTTTTATTTTTTTGAGACGGAGTCTCGCTCTGCCGCCCAGGCTGGAGTGCAGTGGCCGGATCTCAGCTCACTGCAAGCTCCGCCTCCCGGGTTCATGCCATTCTCCTGCCTCAGCCTCCCGAGTAGCTGGGACTACAGGCGCCCGCCACCTCGCCCGGCTAGTTTTTTGTATTTTTTAGTAGAGACGGGGTTTCACCGTGTCAGCCAGGGTGGTCTCGATCTCCTGACCTCGTGATCCGCCCGTCTCGGCCTCCCAAAGTGCTGGGATTACAGGCTTGAGCCACCGCGCCCGGCGTGGATTTTTATAGAGGTTTTATTCATAATTGCCGAAACTTGGAAGCAAACAAGATGTCCTTTGGCAGGTGAATGGCAAAATAAATTGTGGTACATCCAGACAATGGAATATTATTCAGCACTAAAACATGAGCTATGAAACCATGAAAAGACATGAGGGAAACTTCAATACATATTACTGCATGAAAGAAACCAGTCTGAAAAGGCTGCATACTACCTGATTCCAACTACATGACGTTCTGGAAAAGGCAAAATTACAGAGACAGTCGAAAGATCAGTGGTTGTGAGGGTTTAGGTGGAGCACAGAGGACTTTTAGAGAGTGAAACTACTGTAAGACACTGTAATGATGGATGCATGGTATTATATGTTTGTCCGAACCCACAGGATGTACAGCACTAACAGTGAACCCTAATGTAGATATGGACTTTGGGTAACAATCCTGTGTCAATGTAAGTTTCGTGATTATGATAAATACACCATGGCGGCAGATGTAGATAATGGGAGAGTGCGTGCATGTTTTGGGACTGGGTGTATATGGGAGGTACTTGGGTTCAATTTTACTGTGAACCTAAAACTTCTCTGAAAAATAAAGTTTATTTTTTTAAAAAACGGAATACTTAATTTTTAACTGGAATACAGTTTCTCCTCCATGAGAATTGAAAATCATAAGTGAACCCAAGAAAATCTATGAGTTTTGTGTTTGTTTGCTTTTTTACTGAAAATAAAGGCAGCATACCAAATAAAGAGAAAATCAAGAATATTTTCTAAATGGTTTTGCATTACTGTCCCCAAATTGCAGTTTATATGTGGCTTATAAATTTATCTTTTTTTTTTGAAACAGGTAATAATACATATTTGGAAGCATTTTTTTTTTCTAATTTGGTTCTGCACAAATATGCTTTTCAGATATTTTGATTGAGTCATTGATTCATGCATTCTAGAAAGTCCTGATTTAGAATTGAGGGATGATGAGTTGTAGTGTTTTGTATTTAACAGACATATTTAAACTGACTTTACTCTCAGATTGTTTTACAGTAATTAATGTGATTATATTCATGTAGGACTTTTGAATTGAGCAGGGTATGAAGGCAGAAGGTAATTCTCCCTTATTCTCATACATTTGTAATCTATACTAAGGTCTTCTGTTGTAAAATAGGGTATAATTGAGCTGTTGTATGATTTAAGGAGAGAGTCCTAAAGGAAAAACTAAGTTATGTCCAAGTTGAAACTTTACATTGTAAGTACTACATCCTTTAAAATATTTTTATAGGGAAGAAATGTGCCCTTGGTTATTCATAGTTATCTAAAGGGCCAGTGTTCAGATACTGACAAAGGTATTTTAAGGAGAGCAATGCTGTAGGTGACCGTTCTAGCTAGATTGTGCTGTCTGATCCAGTAAGGTTATCAATCTCTCTGCTATAAAGCATTGTGGTCAGTTTGCACTTGGTGTGAAATATAATTTGGATAATTACATTTGTATATATAATTATATATGAATGATATACATTTCATAATATAACCTATCTGAAGCACACAGTAGGACCCTCTCATCTGCAGTTTCGCCTTCTGTAGTTTCAGTCACTTAAGGCCAGTTGTGGTCCAAGAAAATATTACAATATTTTGAAAGAGAAAGCGACCACATTCTCAAAATTTTTATGTCAGTTTATTGTTATAATTGTTCTGTTTTATTATTAGTAATTGTTGTCAATCTCTTACTCTGCCTAATTTATAAATTAAACATTATCATAGGTATGTATGTATAGGAGAAAGACATAGTATATATAGGGTTCCGTATTATCCAGGGTTTCAGGCATCCACTGGAGGTCTTAGAATGCATCCTCTGAGGATAAGGGGGACTACTGTATTATTGGCACCATCAACGATTATTTTCATGTTACATATTATAATCTCTGTGCTCTCTAAAACAAAACAACTAGTAGAATTCTTTGGACTTGCGTGTGTTTATAAAGGATTTTATTTCATTTTTCCCCCTGCTGTACTGTTCAATTTTATTATTTTATTTCAATAACTCCTTCAGTAGCTCAACTTTGAGATTTTGCCCTAAGAGAAGAGCTCAGGTATATCCTGGCAAGAGAAATTGCTATTTCAGAAATAAAAGTAACTCAATATAAGTTTTTGGTGTATTTTTAAGTTTAACATTCTGGAAAACAGCACTGACATTTTTACTATTCATTCATTCATTCAACAGGTATTTTTTAAATTCTAATTTAAATGCCAGGCACTACTTTAAGTAGTCCAGTAGTAACAAAAAATACATTCCTCCAGGGGTTCACATTCTGATGCAATGTGTTAGTAAGAAGAAGGGAAAGTTTCATTGTTAATAGAATTCTGCAGCAGTATGCTTCTCTCCAACTTGGCACTTTTAAGGAAATATTTCCTCGAAAGCTGTGCTGTCCAGTTTGAGAGCCACTAGCCACAGGTGGCTACTGAGCACTTGAAATGTGACTAGTTCAAGCTGAGATGTGCTGTAAGTGTAAAATACACACTAGAGTTCAAAGAATTGTATGAAAAAGCATGTAAAAGTTCTAATGAATAGTTTTTATTGGTTACATTTTGAAATTAAAATTTTTTTTGCATACATGTGGATTAAGTAAACTATTAATACAAGTAATTTCTGTGGTTTCTTTTTACTTTTCTACTTTTCTTTTTTTTTCTTTTTTTTTCCAGACGAGGTCTTGCTCTGTTGCCCAGGCTGGAATACAGTGGTGTGATCATACCTCACTGCAGACTTGAACTCCTGGGCTCAAACAATCCTCTGGAGGCACAAACCATCCATGCCCAGCTAATTTTTAAAATATATTTGTGTATAGATGGGGTCTCACTATGTTGCCCAGATTAATAGTGAACTCCTGGCCTCAAGCAATCCTCCTGCCTTAGCCTCCCAAAGTGCTGGGATTACAGGCATAAGCCACTGTGCATGGCCTTCTTTTTACTTTTTTTAATGTGGCTTCTAGAAGTTTTAAATTACATATGTGGCTTGTATTTGTGCCTTGCATTATATTTCTACTGGATAGTTCTGCTCTACGGATTGCACTTACTTTCCATAAAATTAAGATCTAATTTCATTAAGTCAAAGTTCTTATTAGAAATGATATTACTTGATGTTTTAAAAATAATGAAAGAATGTACTCTGTTAACATTGTAGTCCTGTTACTGAAATTTGAATACAGGTGTGAGGTTGCAGTAACCTAATAAGACCAAAATCATTTGATTTTTTTTTTTTTTCCCCATGTCTCTCCTGTCTGAACTTCGGTGACTCTCCACAAAATAGTACGGTAAGAAAATTATTTCCATCCATTTCAGGCTTTCGCAGACTTTCTGCATTAACAGAGTTATGGACAACAGACTTAGTGTCCTTTGCTTGTGAGAGCCTCTCTAGTCGCCATGGCTGGCAGGTTGCGAAGGGTGCCTACTGCACCCTGGCCTGTCCTAGGGAGCCTAGACATGAGCTCTGTGAGAGCCATGCTCCTGGGGCTGCTCCCTACTCCTGTTTTTAGAAACAAGCATATAATTACTTCATTGATAACAGTCACAGTAGAGCCTGGCAACGATGAAAGGAAACAGAGAAAGAAAAAGAGAAAGCAGGAAAAGAAAGGTGGGATGATTTTTTCCTGTAGGGTAGAGTTCATTTCCATGGCTTGATTTCACGCAGGAAGTGGTGGTGTGCAATTCTGTTGGAACTTTCTTTTCAGCACAATTAAGAATTATAATGAAGTAAAATGTTTAATCCAACATATGTTAATTTCTTTTTGAATTTTAATAAAGTTCCTTATTTTTCTCAAAATTGCTGAATATCTGACAGAGCATAAATCAATCATATTCTAAAAAAGGGAAGAGAGAACTAGAATCATGTACTAGATAGAAAAGATGCATTATAAACTTTCTAAGGTTAGATATTTTGGCAAACTAGTGTTAAAATTGTCTTTACCTTTTGTGTTCTTCTTAATATATTTTCAGTATAGCTCAACATTTACTGTCATAAGTGTATGTATAGTTCTTAACTTGCAGAACTCTGTTTCCTATAACCTAACACTCATCACACTTAAACTTTTTATTTTAGTTTTTTATTTTTATTTTTTGAGATGGAGTCTTGCTCTGTTGCCCAGGCTAGAGTGCAGTGGTACGATCTTGGCTGCAACCTCTGCCTCATGGGTTCAAGTGATTCTCCTGTCTCAGCCTCCCAAGTAGCTGGGATTACAGGTGTGAGTTACCACACCCAGCTAATTTTTGTATTTTTAGTAGAGATGGGGTTTCACCATATTGGTCAGGCTGGTCTCGAACTCTTGACCTCATGATGCGCCTGCCTCCGCCTTCCAAAGTACTGGGATTACAGGTGTGAGCCACCACGCCCAGCCCACACTTAAACTTTTAATACCGTCACTTAGCCAGGAATCTCCCAGGGCTACTTTAGGTTTAGATTTATTCCATTGTCCATTTCTGCTTTACCCTCACCTATGAAAGAAGACACATTCACAACTGGTGGTAGAGAAACTGGTTTATATGCCCCTCTTAGAATAACTCTTCAGGCTTTGTCACAGCCCTGGGTTCATGCATGATAAAGTAGACAGCAACACCACCATATAGTGCAGAGGAATGGAAAGAGAGTAAATGGAAAAGGAGATGAAAATAGACCAAGTGGAGAAAGGCCTGGTCAAAACAGGAAGAAAAGGAAGATCACTATGGAATAATAGAGAGGTGAAAAATGAAGTGACACCAAATAACAGGACAGGTAGGAAAAGAAGTAGGTAAGGGAGAGATAGATACTCTCCCTTAAAAGAGTCTGGGGAATAAGGAAAAAAGAAAACTGGCCATATCTCATCTAAATATAAGAAATTAAAGGTCATTGTTAATAGAATTCTGCAGGAGTGCACTTCTCTCCAACTTGTCATCTTGTCATTTTTTTTTTTTTTTTTTTTTTTTGGACAGAGTCTCTGTTGCCCAGGCTGGAGTGCAGTGGTGCAATCTCGGCTCACTGCAACCTCTACCTCCCAGGTTCAAGCAATTCTCTGCTTCAGGCTCCCAAGTAGCTGGGATTACAGGCACCTGCCACAACACCCAGCTAATTTTTGTATTTTTAGTAGACACAGGGTTTTATCATGTTGGCCAGGCTAGTCTTGAACTCCTGACCTCATGATCCACCCGCCTTGGCCTCCCAAAGTGCTGGGATTACAGGTGTGAGCCACTGCACCCAACCCAACTTGTCATTTTCAAAGAAACATTTCCTCTAAAGTCGTGCTGTCCAATTTGCGAGCCACTAGCCACCTCATCTAAATGTAAGAAATTAAGTGAAAGTTGCAATAGTGAGTATCTTAGATAATATCTAGTCTGAACGCAAGAGGACTAATTAGCCAGCCCAGAATCTCAAGATTCTTTAAACCAATTGTGCCTAATTTACAGAGTTTATAACTCACATGTTAAACCCTGAAATACTTATTGTGATGGCTATATGGGAACTTTGACCTTTTATAGTTATTTCAATGACCTTGTGGCTTACAAGTTAAGTAAACATTTTAAAATACTCTATTATGCCAAATCTAATTCCCATTTATTTTTCTTATATTTCCCTTGGTTTACCACTTTTTAGGGAATTTTTGTATTTTAACCCCTCGTCAATAATAGAATCAAAGTCTAGAAATGTATTTAACAGTCTGAATTTAACCTAAACATTATGATAGGCAGAAGTCAAGCAAAGACTGTTTTTACTCTTTAGTGTTGGGATAACTAAAAGGAGTGTTTAGCCAACAAGATGTGGTTTCTTTCAGATTTGGAAATATTATTTCCAAATTCTAAATTAATGAAACAATTTTTCATTTAATGAACAAAAGCCACAAACCTTGTTTTATTTCAGCCTCTAAAATTGATTGTGGCTCCTGTCAAACACAGACAACTTCACTTTGGTATCCTTGAATGAGTGTAGTTGTAGAATGAAAAACTATTGGTTCATTTCTTTAATATTAATGTAAGTTTTTGCTATTATGTCAAAAGTACTTTCCAATCTTAATTTCTTAGTGTCTGGGGTCCTGGGTATTGATTTCCAAGTTCTTTTAACTTAGAATAGCTCATATGAGCTGAAAAACAATTTATTCTCTTATTAAGCTTCTTTCTTCAGAAAAGTACCCAATTTATGGTCTGCATTTTAAGAATTATTAACAAATATCCTAATGAAAATTTGGGAAAAGGAGTGTGGATAGATTTAAACATAAAAATTATGGAGAATAGTTCTAACAGGGTTTGAATTATAGCAACAATGAATTGTGTAAGAAGTTAATCTTATTTTTAAATTTTCTAAATGGGACAATCAGAGACGACTTGGTTGTAGTGTGGAAACCAGTAGGGATCTTGGGAAGCTGCCAAACCCTTTCTAGCTCTGGGCTCACCTGTAAGAACTGCTGATTCCTATGGGAACACTTGGACAATCCAATACCTGAATGTTAACCATCAATTAACCCAGTAAACCTGCAAAATGGAAACGAAGATTTGTTTTCACGAGTTTCACATGGTTATTTAAAGTAAGGAAAATTTCAGCTATTTATAGTTCTGTCTTAACTTTTTCCTCTCTTCATTCTTTTCCTCTCATTTTTTGTAGCACTTCTGGGGCCCGGTAGCCAACTGGGGTCTTCCCATTGCTGCCATCAATGACATGAAAAAGTCTCCAGAGATTATCAGTGGGCGGATGACATTTGGTAAGAATGCAGATTTCGATAATTGGGAGGACTTTCAACATAGTAGAGTGCCTGCTTGCATTTCAAGATTGTAGCACCAGATGTTACAGTCACTATTAGAAAGTCACATACAGAATGTGATGGCATGGAAGAGTGTTACTTCTCCATGTGAGTAAGAAACAAGATTAATTAGAAATATTTATCTAGGAAGTAGTAACATCTTATTTGCCTTTCAGATTTAGCACAACCAACTGAAGAATGTGTCATCTTAATCATTCTAATAGTCACTCTAATGATTTATATTGTGAACTTTTTGGGGGGAAAGTGTTATTAAACTTACTTGAAACCCTGATATTTGAACATAAAACTGTTGTGGAGGGAATAAATAATTATTTCCGATAATGAATGGATTATAAGCAACTCTAGAAGATAAAAGAAAAAGTGGCTGGAATGAATTTCAGCCTACTCTTGCTCTGAAATATGTTCCTTAAATGTTTAAATAATTAACAAAAATGCATAGCAGTACAGTAAAATTTTTTATGAGCTTCCTATTCATACAGGCATTTAAGTAACAACTTTTATCTGTCAAAGGCTTTCGCAGAAGAGGTTCTTTTTTGATCAAGGCAATGGAACTGTTCATCTCTGTGGTCCTATCAACTCTCTCAGTTTCTAAGTTATTGATTATCTTTGCTCTGCTATTTTTGGCAGCCCTCTGTTGCTATTCTTTGGCATTCATGAGATTTGCCTACAAGGTACAGCCTCGGAACTGGCTTCTGTTTGCATGCCACGCAACAAATGAAGTAGCCCAGCTCATCCAGGGAGGGCGGCTTATCAAATACGAGTAAGCAGATTTCAATTTAGCTACTTTCTTTTCAGGAATTTGAGGAATTGGGGTGAATGAAACTAAACTCTCGTCTGAGGGAGTACTTGGGGACTGGAGTGTGTATAGATGTGCTTTAGCAGTTGGGGAAACCACTTAATAAAACATGCAAGTTAACATGAAGTAGGATACAGGCTGAGCATCCCAAATCCAGAAATCTGAAATGCTCCAAAATATGAAACTTTTGGAGTGCCAACATGACACTCAAAAGAAGTGCTCATTGGAGCATTTCAGATTTTGGATTTTCAGTTTAGGGATGCTCAACTGGTATAATCCAGTTATTCCAAAATCTGAAAAAATCTGAAACATGTCTGGGCCTAAGCATTTCAGATGAGGGATACCCAGCCTATATTACTGTTTTTTAAGCTGGAAGTTGAAATAAATGTTATGTAAAAATGTCTTTTTAAAGCCATCCAAAGCCCTTGCGATTGGCATTGAAATTTTGTTTCTCATTGAATTTTTCTTTTTGTTTCTTTCCAGGATGACTAAAAAGGCATCTGCATAACAATGGAAAATGAAGAACAAGGTCTTGAAGGGACAGCATTGCCAGCTGCTGCTGAGTCACAGATTTCATTATAAATAGCCTCACTAAGGAAAATACACTGAATGCTATTTTTACTAACCATTCTATTTTTATAGACATAGCTGAGAGTCTCTAAACCAACTCTCTGCTGCCTTACAAGTATTAAATATTTTACTTCTTTCCTTAAAGAGTAGCTCAAAATATGCAATTAATTTAATAATTTCTGATGATGGTTTTTTCTGCAGTAATATGTATATTATCTATTAGAATTTACTTAATGAAAAACTGAAGAGAACAAAATTTGTAACTACCAGCACTTAAGTACTCCTAATTCTTGACATTGTCTTTAATGACCACAAGACAACCAACAGCTGGCCATGTACCTAAAATCTTGTCCCCACTGTTTAAAAATGTTATCTGTGTATTTCCATGCAGTGTGTATATTGAGATGCTGTAACTTAATGGCAATAAATGATTTAAATATTTGTTAAATGAGTATGATTAAATATCTTGCTGCATTCCGTAGGAAACTGCAGAACAGTGTATATGAAAAGACAATTATAGGTGAAAATGGAACTCCTTGAAAACTATGAAGATGGCTGGAGGAAATGCAGAGCTGGAAGGCCAGTGTTTTCTGGAAAGCATCGACAGTCCAGCTACGCAGAATGCGTTCTTTCTCTTATGGGCAAGTGTTATTAATAGAAATGCCCCTCAGTCACTGAGACTCAGGCCAGTCACGTGAGTGTTCTGGGCTTCTCTTTCTCCATCTGTAAAAGGTTGCACAGGTGATTCTTGTGGTGATCTAAGAATTGTGCTGCTTTCCCAAGAAAGCTGTTGAGACTGCAGTCCCACAGGAATGGGCTGATCCTGTGGTCCAGCACAAGATTAGGTGCTCGGATGGAGGAATCAACTTTCAGGGGAGGGATGGAGCCATTAACTAGGAGCTGCTCCAGAGAAGTCTGACCAAATGACTGAAAACATCCTAAGAGCATAGTCCTGACTTCTTATTTCACATTATACAGTTAACTTAGGGTTTTAAAAAAAATCCAACTTGAATCTGATTACAGTTTCCCATTCTCTATGTGGTGGCAGATGAGGGCAGCAGGGAAGCCCATGCTGAGCAGAGGGGAAGTCTGTGAGGTGCAGTCTCCCTCAAGGGTCCATATTCTGTCACCTTTTTTTCTTTTTTTTTTTTTTTTTTTGAGACAGGGTCTCGCTCTGTGGCCCAGGCTGGAGTGCAGTGGCGCAATCACAGCTCACCGCAACCTCCACCTCCTGGGTTCAAGTGATTCTTCTGCCTCAGCCTCCCAAGTAGCTGGGATTACAGGCATGCGTCACCATACCCGACTAATTTTTGTATTTTTAATAGAGGCAGAGTTTTGCCATATTGGCCAGGATGGTCCCGAACTCCTCGCCTCAAGTGATCTGCCTGCCTCCCAAAGTGCCAGGATTACAGGCGTGAGCCACTGCACCCGGCTTCATATTCTGTCACTTTTATTTTCTTTTTAAGGTGCTATACAGTTCACAAAGCATTGTCATATATGTTCTATCTGGGCCTCTCACAGCACTGTGGAGCAAGCTGGGCATTTATAGACAAGGGGACAGGTTGTGAAGCTGTGAAACACCTGTATTTGGCAAGGCCAGGGCACACACCTGTCTGGGGACGCTGCTCCTGCCACACTGCAGCTGGGACCACGGCAGGACAGACTCTACAGGAACCTGGCCACACCACAGCTCCGACAGGCTCAGCTTCCACAGTTAAGTACAGCTGAGCGTGGTGAAAAAAACTAGCATGAAGAGCTATAGATTGGTTAAATTAAAACCACTTGTTCTACTTTATCATACAAGTAATAATACTTGCGAGACATTCTAACTCCACAGAGACACAGGGCGGAGAGTGCAGCAGCTGAAGCCCTCATAGGTCTCCTCCACCCTTGGCCTATCCCTGTGGAGTCAGCCACTGTCAAGGATTTTTGGCTTGAGGTCTTTCTCTTCCTTTCATCACGTTGGAAAAACTCCCAACCTGCTAGGCTTTAGTGCTGGGTAAGAAGCAAGGGGATTTTCCCACCTCCATTTCAGAGATTGGCCAGCTCCCTGAAGGCATGCCCTTGTCGGTCAGCCCCGGTGGAAGCTTGCAGAGCACCAGGGACCAGGAGCAGATACTGCAGGGGATTCCAGCGAGAACAGGCCCTGATAGAAACCAAGGCAACAGTTTGGTTCCGTGGAGTTTTCTGGTACTCCCGAGGAGACAATATGGAGAGACAGAGGCCAGTAAGGTCATTCCTGCTGGCCAAAACCTGCGTCCGAGCTGAGGCAATCCTGCGAGTGTGCAGATGCAGTCAAAGCAGGCACAGGTGCAGGAGTGGCGTGGAGTCTGCTCCCTCAGGGCCGCAGCTTCTGACTGGGCCTGAGAGAGAGTGACGAGGGACTCACTGGGGAAAGGACTGAACGGCACTTGGCCCGCTTACAGGTCACTGCAAGCTTTTAACTGTCGCACTTCCTCTTTCCGCACAGAGCCCTGAGCGCTTGCAAAGATGAAGGCAAGAATGCAACAGGCACCTGAGTAGAAGCAGTAGGAAAGGATGTGAGACTTTTTCCGCTGTCAGAATTTGATTCCTAATTTCACATAGCATTGAGAACAGTCATGATAAACTACATTCCGGAACAAGAGTTTTTGGGTCTTTTTGCATTGTTTTGAGATGGAGTCTTGCTGTGTTGCCCAGGCTGGAGTGTAGTGTCACCATCTTGGCTCGCTGCAACCTCTACCTCCCAGGTTCAAGTAATTCTCCTGCCTCAGCCTCCTGAGTAGCTGGGATTACAGGTGCACACCACCAAGCCCAGCTAATTTTTGTATTTTTATTCAGTAGAAGCAGATTTTCACCATGGTGTCCAGGCTTGTCTCAAAGTCCAGACCTTGTGATCTGCCCGCCTCGGCCTCCCAAAGTGCTGGGCTTACAGGCATGAGCCACTGCACCCAGCCCAGAACAACAGCTTTTAATGGTTCTTGGTTGCTTTAAGTTTACCATATCCAATGTCTTTTGTTAGCAAAAAGCGCACTCAGAACACCTCGGAATTCAGCTTATAAGCAAAAGCCTTATCAAAAGGAGACTGACCTGTTATTTAAATTGTTTTTCTCTGGACTTTGGAGGTGGAAGACTTCCCAGGCAAGGCTAATTCCTAGGCCCTGGGCAAGCTCTTGTTGCTCTTTCATCCTGGGAATTTCCAGAGCTTGTCTTCCAGAGACAGGTGAAATACATTGTCACATTTGGTAAATGTTTGGTTTGTACTATGAGAGCAGTATGCATGATAATGTTTCATCTTAAAGACTGGAAATCCGATCTGGTCTCTTTAGTATAATTTCAGAAATCATTGCCTTAGGATTTTGATGTGTATTAGTGGAGAACACTGCTGGCAATGGAAATGCATTAACCATTAGAGAGTCAGCATTTAAAGTAATCATAGGTGATAAGTAAAATGTGAAAACTCAAAGATTGGGTTGATGCAGAACTTGATTACTTTAAAAGCCCAGCAATATATATTCAGAATTTAAACTGCCATATAGCATTCTTTCTCAAAATAACTCCCAAGAACTCAAAATGCTTTTCATTTAAATGACAAAATATAAAGAAAGGAGACTCAAATGAGTCCTGACTCACTTCCAAGATGAAGTTCATACTAGTTGTGAACAGTAAAGTGGCATGTTGGTTTCCGCTCCAGAGGCAGTGCTTTTCTTTGTTACAATAAATTCAAGGGGCAGAGGTAACAATTGGGAAATTCTTCCTGCACAAGCAAACATTCTCAACCTAGACAGTGGGAATCCTGGCACCGGGCAGCGTGACTGCAGGCTGCATGCTCAGTGAGAGTGGCCCATGTGTGGGGGTGATGGAGAAATCAACGGCCTCTTGTTTCATAATTCTCCTCTGACTGCACTTGGCTTACTATGACATGACATAGCTCAGTTTTGTCAGCTCTCTTCCCCCACTCCACACAGCAATGGTGAATTTCTGCCATTCCGAACTCCAAGTTGGGTTCAGTTACTCTTTTGTGTTTTTACATTTTTGGATTGGATTTCTCAGATGTTTTCTTAGATTAATTTGTATGGAGAATTTACAAGCCTTAACAAGAAAGCACAAGTTGTTGCAACACCTGAGGATACTCTGAAATTGCATCAGATTACTGAGAAGACACTAGATGGACTCAAAAATAATCATTTCTCCTCTAAGGTCTAGAAGAGAAGTGCACTCTAGACTGCATTTAGACAGCAAAGACTGAGCTGGCTCTGCCTGCAGCCCTGGCAGGTCAGTGTCCCCTGGGAATGTGGAGAGAGCAGAGGCTGCAGATGTCTGTGGAGAGGAGCCACCCACAGTGAGAAAATTGCAATCCTCCTGATCTTCCCTCAGACAGCTGCTGAGAACTGACCTAAACTGGGCTGGTCACATAGGACTCCCAGGGTTTTGCTGTTATTTTGTTTTTGGTGGATATAACAGAAATCATAGAAAAGTTGGTGAGGATTAGCTACTCCCTGACAACTTTATTATGAAAGTCACAGGTCAAAATCTGCCTTCCTTACAGACATGCGTTTAGCAAATGTTCATTAGCTAGTACATTAGCAGGAAGCACGACACCTTGCTGTTCTCCTATGTTCTGATGAATCACAGCTCTTCTTCCATTCAGGCTCTCTGAATGAGTCACCCATCTGAGGCAGATAGGACAGTATTTCAGCCAAGACATAATTCCCACCTAAACTAATAATCCCATGGGGTAGCTTAATGGTGGTTTCCTACATTTAGTTATTAGATCACCTTCTATAGAGTAGACTCCATTAACTAAGTCTGTTCACTTATACACAAACATGGGTCCTAATGAAAAGGCAGGATAAATGTTCAGTTCTTTCCTTCTCTACCCAATTTTAAATATAAAGAATTGGTGTGATTCATCACATAAACAGAATGAAGAAAACCATATGATCATCCAATAGATGAAGAAAAAGCATTTGATAAAATCCAGT